CATGAAAATGTCAAGTCTGACAACGAAATTGAACGTCTGAAAAAAAATACGAGCCACGGGAATGACAGCAGGGAGCTAGTTCGCTTCAAATCGGCCACTATCAAGATTAATTTGAATGCGTTTATTGTCAAATTGGCCGGGAAAACCGATGAAAGATGACTTCCCATCAACGAATAAGAAACGAAAAGCATGGTAATACGTTATAAGCGCACTCACGTTCGCTAATTTGAATGCCTCAACCGTCTTAAATTAAAGACTTAATTTAAGAATGCTACAAATTAAGTCTTGAAAGCACCAAAACGAAATAAAATGTCCAAAAACGAAAACGAACATTCAGAGCAAAATCTTGGCTGCCTAAAAAGGAAAGTGAATGCCCCTAAAATGAAAAGAAACCCCAATTTGATCCCACGTGCAAAGATCACGCGAAATAGAATGGCTGATAATGAAAATGATTAGAAAAAATCGGGAATTGGCTGGGAAAACCTATATTAAAACGTTTGGTTCATCCAAAGCCTCAGATTAGAAACGAAAAACAAATCAGGAAAATGGTACCGCGAGGTTTCGCGGTACAAAATCACGATCCTATCCAACTGAGTTATCGAACTGCTCGACTAATTCTGGAAATTCATGGTAATATATACCTGCGTGCGTATCATAAATGTATCGTAGAGGGCGCTCAACAACCATGTAATGCAGATGTTGTTGGGAAAAAAAATATTCGCTACCCGTTGCCGGCCAACATGTCCGGCTGTAAACGTTTTTACTACATCTCATAAATATTCATGATCAAATTGGAGCGCGTCATTGGCCGAATCCACCGCGCGTCCGGGAAGTAAAAATGATACGCGCCCAGGTGATGTCATCCCGGTGAGTATCCCGCTTGCTGCTGTGCGGTAGTTTTTCTGGTAGCACCAAAAATTCCCTCTGGAACCCGCTTCGTAGACATGTAGTCTACAGCATGTAATCTTTACGGAATCTTTACGGAGTGTTGGCATCAGACTATTTCATGTACTGTGACGTAGAACTTGAATTGTGCTGAATAAAGATGCAAAATCTACGAAGGCCGTTATCGACGAGGCAGTGAGGCTACTAAAAAGACAGTGAAGCTGCTAAACATGTATGAGGTGTAGTAAAGCATAGTTTATTTCTGGAAAATAGTTGGAATTACTGGTCCCTCGGTGTAGGTCAGCTTGACTACCTCCCGACGCGAACCTCGGGACCAGTTATTCCCACTACTTCCCCTCAAACAATGCTGTATTTGTATACTACGAACTACTGATTTTCATGAAATAACTATACCATTAGAGATCTGTAACTACCACTGCACTTTGTGTTAGGTTTTGGATGGTTTGGGCAAGGATCATGGTTTTGGGGTTATTCAGTTGGGGAGGTCAAGTGTCGAGTTGGTTAGGTGCCGGGTCATTCAGGTGCCGTATAGCAAGTCGCGAGCAGGACGCAAAAGTAAGGTGCTGAGTTGGAAAGGTCCCGAGTTGGCTAGGTGCCAACTGGGTGCCGACTAGATGCCGAGTTGGCGAGGGGCCGAGTTGGTGGGGCCGAGTTGGCTAGGTGCCGAAGTGACTTACATTCACTCAACAAACGCGGTACCTCCATGTATGATTTTTAATTGGACAGCAGAAAAAAAAAAACATGTAGTATCCATCTTCCATTTATTCATTAATTCACTGTTTAGTGAAGTTATTTGTTGATGGATTCCATTCTCTAATTTTCTCCCACTTAATTTCATGAGAAAGCAATCAATAATGTAACTGTTACGCTTCAATGGATTCTTTGTAACATGACGTGAAAAACGCATCTTTGCAACAAAACGAGTGTCTCCCCTGAAGAAACTTATAGACTTGGAATTTGAAAGCAAAAGTCAGCGAACGTTTGGGTATCATTTGGATATATTACGTAGTACGTACGTATATTAACAGCACTGCTTATTAGGATCCGACGATGTGATAATGTTTGCACATGTACGCGTACTTCGGCAACGTTTCCAATCACCACGAACCTTATTTTTTTGAGGGACAATTGGAGATGAGTTTTCTTGAGAAAATGCTGTACATGCTGGCCTGAGATATATCATTCAATGTTTATTTTTGTGAATGACCCTTTTTGAATTCTAAAACCTCGTTAAAGACTTTGCCATAGGCCTACTTGCTACACAAATGTAGGCTTATTGTGTAGTCACGTGATCCTGATTTTCAGCAAACTGCTCCACATTCTAAAAATTGTGTTTAGCAATTAAACACAATCTTGCTGTCAGTGTGAACACAAGTTTAGAAGCTAAACATAGTGTCCAATGCCTAAACATCAATGTGAATTGCTAAACACCACCAATCAATACTATAGGTTTTCTCGGACAATTTTGGCAAATGAGCAGCCAATTTAACCACTACGCTATTCTATTTCGCGCGAAATCAAATGCTACTGAAAAGGGTCATTCGATTTCGTTTTATGACCAGTCAAATGTACTGTTGCGTCATTCGATTTAACAAAATAATCATGCAATTTAACAATTCAACAAAGCAGCATTCAAATTCGCAGGAGCTTTTTGAGGCGTGTGTTTAGTCATTCAAATTCATCTTTGGGCAGTCATTTCTGGAATTTGTGCAATCTAAAAAACGCTTTGTTAAATTGTTGTTTCCTTAAGAATGTTGAAGGCATAAATACGGTTCACTTTTTGGCACTTGAGTCACTTTGCCGATGTACTTCGAAGACGAGCTTTCGCTACAGTTTTACACGCATATTTCTAGAAATGGCAGCTCGTGGTCGCTACGCTAGAGTGGCCCAGGTAGATCGAGAAAGGTTGATTGAGGCCTTCGAGGGAAACGAGCAAGACTACCTTCAGCTTGCGGTCAATTTGAACATCAACAAGTCCACAGCCAGATCAATTGTTGCAACATATTTGAGGACTGGAAGGCGAGAGATGCTGGCAAGAGGAGGAGCAACCCACAGCAAGATGGATGATGACATGCGAAACCATCTGCAAGGCATCCTTGACGCTAATCCCGTCTTGACACTTCAACAAATGAAGGCTAGTTTGAGTGAGCATCTGCCAGAGAAGCCCCAGGTTTCTACTGCCACCATAGCCAGGGCCTTGGATGGGATGATGATTACACTGAAACTAGTGGAGGACGTCCCTGATGCAAGAAATTCCCCTGAAGTTCTTGATCAACGCGTCCAGTAAGGTGAGTGGTTCCTGCAGCATGGTGTTCTGGCGCATCTAGTCTTCATTGACGAGACAGGTTATAACGTCTGGACTCGACGCTCCCAAGGTAGAGCTCCACGAGGGATCGCTGCAAGACGAGTCGTCGACAAAAACGAGGGAGAAATTGCAATGTCACCTTCGCTGTTTCTAGTGAAGTAGGCTTGGTGCACCACCGAATCGCATTCGAAACTGTGACGCGAGAGAGATTCGAGGAGTTTCTTGCGGACACAATTCAAGAGTGTGATGCAGTTTTCCCAGACGACGAACCCATTTACCTCATATACGACAATGCGAGGCCTCACGTGCGAGCCCAACTCCCTGAAGGTGCCAACCCAATGATCCAGCTGAAGCGCCTCCCTCCCTACTCCCCATTCCTGAACAGCACGGAAATGGCACACTCTGCATTCAAGGCTGCAGTTAAACGCATCCTTGGGTTACCTGAGTGGCAACAACGTGTCGGAGACAGACAGGCTGCCCAGCAAGCAGGAATGAACATGCAGCAGTGGAGGTGCGATCTCCTTCAACAAGCAGCCATCCAGAGCGTTGATGTCATCACCCAAGTGAAGTGCATGCAGTGGTACAACCATACCCAAACATATATGCCAAGATGTCTGGCACGCCAACAGATTGATGGTTGAGGAAGAAACAACATAAACAATAAAAAACCAGGAAAAACATAAAGAAACACCCCTTCAAACACAATACAAAATTAGGTCTTGGTCAGTTAACCAATAAAGATCCCCCCCCCCCAAAAAAAAAGAATGAAGAAGAAAACAAAGAAGAAGAAAAAACCTCATTGGCCCCATGTAAAGTCTACTGGAAGCATAAATAAAGAAAACAAGGTTTGCCTGAATTAAAGTGAAGATACGAAACAGTTGCCTAGTACAGTTTATCTGTTTATTCGTATTTCTTTAGTCGTACTTATTTGAATTCTCTTTAAGCGAAATTGATTGCCTCTTTACGAAATTGAAAAAAATTAAATCAGTAAAATCTCCAGTCGAACCCGCTTTGCTAAATTGAATGATGATTGTGTGTCACAAAAAAGAATGATGATATGCTAAATTGAACAAAGTGCTAAAGGAATTTGAATGCCTCAAAACGAAATTGAATGGCCGAATTCTGAATTTGAAACGCAGTAACAACTGGAGAGGCAAAATAGCTTCAATTCGAACGCACGAAAATTAAATTGGCTGCTCATTTGCCGAAATTGACCGAGAAAACCTATAGTATATCATGTTTATAAACTGATGGCAATATAGTGTTTTTGCAGAGTCCTTAAAAATATATCTTTAAATATTGTTAGTTTTCATATTAAATCTGGTCAGATAAGGCCAAAAAAAAAATAAGTCGGTCTCTGGTCAGCGCGCGCGTCGATTTTAATCATGCGCGTCGATCTTTTTTTTTCACAAAATGTTCCGCGGTAGCTCCAACAGCGCCCTCTATTTCCGCACCTCCTCAATTTTGTTTACCAAAGAGCACCAAGGAATGGGAAATTGCACCAAGGCAAATGATCGAAAGCACCAAGGCAAATTATGGAGGACACCAATGTACATGAGGACACCAAAAAAGCAAAATAGTACCCCACCTTGTCTGTACATTTAAGCTTGAAGAAAAAAAAGAAAGCCGCGTGGCCGCGTCAATTCCGGAACTTTGGTCTGACCAGAGACCGAATATTTTTTTTTTGGCCTAAGAAGAAGAAAATAATTGCTTATTTTTTGGGCGGTTGCTTGTCGGCATGACGTCAGAGTGACCATTCACAACATATTGCTTATACTTTTGTTTGCAGGCAATGGTATGCCAATGGATGTCGAGTGTCTAGCGTCACGAAAGATGACGTCACCTGTAGCTGTGGTTTCCTAGCGAATTATGCCCTGCTATTGCAACCATATAAGGTGCGTCAAGATTTGCTCATCTTCATGGGTGTTGCCAGGATTTGGCAAGGAACCCCCTGGAAAAGAAAAAAAGAGAAAACAAAAAGAACATAAAGAAAACAAAAAGAGGTGTGAAGTCATATTTGCTATTACTTTAATACACATTTAACGAAACGGGCGTCTGCATGGCTGTTTAATGGCGGTGGGATGGGCAAATGTCTCCCGCCTACCCTCGGAAGAAAAAAAAGATAAATTGAGAATATGCTAGTGAAAGTACAAGGATCTTCGGGGAAAATTGGCTTTGCCTGCCCCCCCCCCCCCAGAAAATATCCTGGTGACGCCCATGCTATTTTTTTTTTAAAAATCCAACCATGTTTGTATTTCTTTATTGTACATGGAAACAAGTTTTAGCGAAAGAGGTTTCTGTGAAAATGGTGGGGTTTGTTTTTGCATATTTAGAACTTGTATCAACTTCTGTTTGTAGTTACGGTATTGTGGGCGGTAAATTGTGGATGGATTGCACTTTTAGATTAAAGGTGAAAACTTGACTGTGACAAATACAGACTGCAGCTAGCAGATTGAGCGGAGACTACACCAGGCCGACCAATAAACCTCTGTTCTGATGACGTCACACTTTGTTTACATGTGCACTTTCCAATGGAGCCAGTGGGGGCCCACGGTCTACTGAGCACCATAGGAAAGCACACACGTGGAAATTGTGTGGAGATCGACTTGCGTGGAAATTGTTATTTGTTTGGCTGATGACAGTCGATACCCGAGTTTAGACGAATCTGGGCAAGAGGGCCTCTTGAATGGCTATTGTATAGAGCAACTATTGCATGACATATTATCCTAAAAAAATAATGGTTTCGCCGTTGAATGGGCTTACGGGATAAAACTCAAAGCGTGTCTGTTTTGGTCTATTGGCTCCGTGTGCCAACAGAGAGGGCGCCATTTTACCTAGCAACGACGTCCCATGGGCTGGACACTTAGCTGGTTGACGCGTACCGTTCATTGTGTGTGTGCCGTTGTCATATGAAAATCCAACTCCTATGAAAATCGGACCCCTTTTCCCTATTATTGGTTAATCCCTAGCACGTGACAGGTCACTCTCCCGTATGTGATCATAAACTAGCATATTCTCGTCCTTACGCATGCGCAATACTACCAATGAGTCCACATTTCATGGAGTCGGATATTCACGCTACACCGTACGTACACCATGTGGATGTGTATGTACACGCAGTGGTAATGCAGCGCGTCAAGTCGCGGCAAAATTGCAGTCAGGCAAGATGGCATCGGTCGGTCCCCCCCATCTGTACTTTCTTTGCCGGTGAGGGGGTACTGGTAAACAGAGCGGATAGTTGGAGGCTCGTCTGGCATGGTTGCATGTGCTTCGAACCTGCAATATTGTAAACGTTGAAATAAACAAGTGTTTATTATGGTAATCATGTTCGTGATTATAGGTGGAAATGACTAACTCTCGCAGTATGAACCTTCTAACATCCGTCAACATGACTGTGACCGTTGCATCTCTCTGCATAGTTCTGCTGGCTTACAAGTACTCTAGGTGAGTTTCAATTTGTATTTCACATCATGCCGATTTATAAGCCAAGCGTCGCATTGGCATCGGTCAATTACGTAGAGGAAAGCAAATGACCATGATCGCCATTGGTTTATTTCTCTTAATGCCCAACCGTCTATGTTTGCATGTGATGTATTAGTATACATGTTCTAAAATCTTTCAAATAATTTATCAGGAACGAAGGGAAATGCACTTCTATTGTAACCTTTATTCATAATGTTGTCGTTATGCAACTCAATTTGTATGACCTAAATTAATTAGACAATGTTTGGTAATGGAAACTGTCTAGCACATATTACGAAGTGCTGCGCAGTTTCTCTTTGTAATATGCTCTGTGGATTGTTTCCTTAATAAAATATGTTAATCATGGCCTACAGTTAACCTTTTTTTCTGCCCAAAAAAATAAAAAAATACTACGTTTAGGCATACATGTTTTCTATTTTGGGAGTCTTGCATCCTCTGAAAATAGGCTTCTTGTTTTTGGTTGCTTTTGCGCCCAATCGGATCCGCCTTGCAAGTAGACGGCCCTTCATTATCGGATCTGATAGGAGAGGGAACAAGTCGACCCTGCGAGTACTAAATGTGTGTCTGTAGCAAATAATTTCTGATTTGAAACGTAATTGGTCAACATTTGAACCCCCCCCCCAGGAACGACTCAATTTTCTTGTCATAGAAATATATTTGAAAGTAATCCGACCCCCCCCCCCCCCCCCCGTTCTGACACCCAAAAACAATTATGACAATTATACTGGTAAAAATGTCCGCCTGTGCACAACACTCGGACAGAGCCAGCTGAGGTACGGGGGTATCTGTACACTATTATACACATATAGACTGGCAATGAGGTCACTAGTGCACATCTATGCGCCCCAAGGGACTGTGAGTGACCAGAAGAGGTTTATATTTCCCGAGGCCAAAGGCCGATGGAAATAGGACCCTCTTCTGTTTTTGCCCGACTCAGGGGGCGTATTCAAAACCCCGTTCTCGTATTGAATGAACACGAGAACAGGGTTTCAAAATATGACAATAACCAACACGCGAAGGGTGATCGCGAACATGATTCTCACTCTTCACTTATTGGGGAGTAGATGAAGAACGTCAAGAACAAAGATGGCGGACTTAGGCCCCTACTGGATCTATTTGTGTATTACATTGAGAGCACTCAATTTAATGCAGGAGCAGTAATGATACCAACAAATGTAGTGTTCATAGATAGGGCTTGTCAGCCTATTGTCTTTGCCAATTTGTATAGCTGTTTCGAAATTTCAATTATGTTAGTTTTATTTCAATTAATTGTCTCTTCTTTTCATTCGGCGTTTTAATACGGCGGCTGCCATCTTGAATGCAAGGCCAGCTGCACTCCACACGCCTTTGGGTATTTGGCGTTATCCGCAACCCGAGGACACTGTTCGCGGGTCACCCGAGAACGGAGTTTCGAATACACCCTACAGTTCCGAGTCTATTCTCTCCCTTTTTTTTTCCAAACAACAAAGGTTTATTCAAATGAGTCCCACACATCACCGGCCCCCACTCTCCGTGTTTGTAAATAAGTATAGATTCGTAAAATTACTCATGCGTACATATTTAGTCAATGTACAACGAATGGAAGTCGTCGGTATAGTCAGGGTCATGTCTCACTGCAAAAAATCAGTACGTCATGTCAGATAGCGACAGTTCAGGATTTTACTTGACACAAAATACCTTCAAATTTTCTAGCTCGTCAAGTGATACAGAAACTGATTTACAAGTTTAATAAGACGGGGTCTTTACCCATGGACTGCGTGGATGGTGGATACGAGGGGACATTTCTGTATCTTTTTCCGGTTCCCCACCATAGTCCCACCGAATAGTTTGCAATTTTTTTGTGTTCTTACAATCGCTCAGGACAACACTGAGCGTACAGTGTTTGTAAAATACGTCAGTGAAGGGCAAAACCGAATTTGCAATACTGTGTTTCTTATGGGAAAAAACCCTTACCTTTTCTACAGATTAACCAGCTCTCGTACCGTGACCCACGCAAGTCTATCGTTGGCAATGGTTGCTTTATACTCAACGGTCTTTTTCCGGGACGATGAAAAGCCGGTAAGGAAAGAAAACGTGACGCTTTAACATCCATTAGTTCGCTAACGGAACTGCGCACGAAACAAGGAAAATCTTTATAAAAAAAAAAGAATAAAAAAAATCAATAGAGTTTTGGAGCTCAAGTCATTTAAAAATACTAAATAAGTGCATCGCATCCAAAGGAGGAGAACTCCAGGAAAAGAAATGCACTATTATTATTATGTTTTAAGTCGCCACATTGTAATGTTATAATATATCAGCAATACAAAAATTGCTTCTTTTTATGAATGTTTTTGTTTTCTGCAGGTTATCTGCACCACCGTCGCCATTTTGTTTCACTTCTTCATGCAAGCTACTTTCATTTGGATGGCACTAGCAGGCGCTCTTTTCTACCTGACGTCACACGATGAGCACACATCTACTTCACGGATCCGACCACGTGCATTATTGCTGACAGGCTGGGGTAAACTATCATCTTTATTAAACCCCTGGCGATGGTAGCGGTACCGCTGCTTTTAAGGTACCTGTATTCCCCACCAAGTGGCTTTGACAATGAACCAAGGGCGGATCGGGAGGGGGGGGGCCACGGGGGCCATGCCCCCCCCCCCCAAAAAAAAAACCCAGAAACTATTTTTTCTTTTATGTGGCGTCGCAATAAAGGCAGGCACTGCCTACACCACCATCTTTTCCTCCAAAAGATTTGGTCAGAAATAGCCTCAAATCACAACACAGAGCATCTAGAAAATCCAGAACTTTTTTTCCGGGGCCCTTAAACGGGCCCCGAACCCCATGCCATAATTTTTGGGTCCCACTTTTTCCACTAACCGTTTTGTTCGAAAAAGAAATAAAGACAGATTTATCAACAATTCTTAACACTTGTTGGGTAATCGATTTTTGATACGTTATCGGTTGATACAGTATCCGTTTCGTGGTGATACATTATCGGATACATTTTTTTGGGGTAATTGCATTATCCGTCGACACGTGATACATTATCGAATACTAATTTTACTACACTCTCAGCCAATTTTTGCTACATTATCTGTTAGTGATATGTCATTGTCTTCTCTCTACAGGTTTCTTCAGGCTTGCGGGCGAGCACAGTGCTTAGGGCGCTTTTGAGGAATCCTCGGATTCATTACCAGAAATGATGAATACTACTTCTAATAATAATAATTAGAAGAAGAAATTGAATAATACACTAGTTCTCATCGTCTGCAAATGCTGCCCAACTAAATTTAGTGCAAAATATACGGGAGCCCAGAGAGGCCACATAAAGCTTATATTCATCGCTACCCCATTTAAAAGCACGTTAAAATTGTGCAGCAGCATGATTCCAGTCAAACCAGTCAGTTTGGCAGTTTTGAGACATCATCTTACATTGAAAAAAACAATAATAATTTTGCCGACGCGCATGGCTACGACGACGCGCGCGCAAACCAGAAACCGGAGACTTTTTTTGCCATAATAATAATAAATATTATTTAAAAATGCTTTACATGTTACTAAGACATAAGCGCTGTACAGTTCATTAGAAAGAAAAAACAACAACAGCACTTAATAAAAACAAGTATATACAAGTCATTTAACAATTACCTTATTAAAATACTGTTATATTGTTAACCTATTTTTGTTTAAAGTTGTGAATAAGCTATAAACAATACATGATGAAAAGTTGAGAGATTTGAAGGATATTGACCAATCACCGTTTGCGAGTTGGCAACGCCCCTTAGACAACCCCATGGAATGTTTGTACGCTGAGTTTTGTTTGTCTCAGATGTTGCGCGTTCCGCGTCCATTTGTATATCATGTAATTTGACAATATTTTTTACAAGCTGCGTTGAAGCAATTCTACCGCGATAGGTCAATTGTTCATATTACCACCCCCATCTCTGGATCCTGTCAATACATCTGCATATTACAATCAGCTCATTAGCATATTACCGTACACTATCAATTACATAGGAGTAACTTAGGCATTTCCCCCTGATGCACGAGTGATACTATTAACCACATAACAAACTGCTTTCAAATGTTACATATCTGCATGGCATACAACACGAGAACAAAACATGTTTAGTGGCTATACAAAAGTAAGTTATCACGCTGAGTGCACGGAGCAAATCTGCTTAATTTTACCTACAAGGAATGTTGTGGCGTGGCTGGTCGATAGATGTGGGTGAAGTGAAGTCTATCACTTTTCCCTTTAAGTGAAGAGAACACCGCGCAAACCGATCTTGTTTATGAGTTAAGTGTGGCACGGAGACTATACAATTAGTCGCGTGTTTTTATAAATTCTCCTCCACACGTCCTTTGTTAACTCGTAAGTGAACGCGAAGCCTAGCCACATATCGCCACCAAAATTTCCTGCGGGCAAACAAAAGGCACTCCCATTACGAAACATTCGACTTATCCAAATGCTGCCTAATATTAATACCTGGCCAATTATTTCGTTGCCATTTTTTTTTGAATGCAGGGTTCGCTGTAGTAGGGATGGTGGCTTCATTCGCAAGTGGTCTTTGTGGTTGCGCAACAAGCACAGGAAGGTAATGTGCAATATTCACAAGGACTTGGAAACTGTCACTCAGGCTAGTTTGGTTTTTCTTAAAAGCAAGCCTAATTTCCTCTTCGTATCTATCCCGCAGAATGACACAGTGACTGACTAACTACATGTACATAACTTGAGACTCAACCTGGTTGTAGACTAGTGAAGAGTGCTGGGCAGTGCTATTGCATAGGATTACCTAGTAATGGGCCTAATCTGGTCCAGTGTGTAGACCAGATGCATGCGCGGAATTTCAGTTAAAATCCATTCTGAATGAATTGAGTGAAATTGTGTGTGGTCTATTACCAGCTGTACTGGGCTTTATATCATGTGCTATTACAGTATTTCATGTCATTCTCTGCAACAGTTATCAAGAAAGATACATCTCATGACCATTGGCTGGATTGCTCATTGGCCTTACAAAATGCAAAATACAATAGGAGCAATCCAGCAAAGACAGTTTATTGTACCGTGGACTGTTTTTGCTTAAAGGGAAAATACAACATTTGCAAACATCAAAAAATTAAACTACCAAATCATTTTGAAATACCTTGCTGGACTGTTAGTGAATGACAGTGTAAAGCATCCTGTAAAATCATGGCACCGGGTATACTGTCATTTTCAAGAAAAGTGGTATTGTTGTATCAATTTCCAACGCTGATCGGCCGACCAGCGTTGGAAACAACTGGCTTTTTTTTCAAATACTGGCCCCAATTGACCATCACACTTGTTTGCAATCGATTACAAACCTATGAACGGGTACGAGCCAGCTAGACTGGTTCCCTGACCTTACGATTCCCCAATGTATGTAAACTGCTCTGTTTCTTGGTTTTTAAAGCATTTTCGAACCCAAAACCTCAAAAAGTCAGTGTAACTATACTTATTTGCTATATATTTCCAACCCCCCAATTCCATCCATTTCTGAAAATTACAGCAAAAGCAAATGATGTATATTCCCTTTAATTATGTGCGATGCACATAATTATATCCCCCAACTCGTAGGAATTGGTGTAACATAATTTCTAATTATTCCATGTCATAGCGCCCTCTGTGTTCCTCATAACATTATTTGTACCAATGAACTCAACGCCTTTTTCACCATCTTTAGTTTAATAAGAAACATATCAAGGTTCTTTTATTTATGTTCTTCTTTTAAAGCTGCTGGTTGTCTAGTGGTGAGGCCTTCGTCTGGGAACTCATGGGTCCCATTGTATATATGCTTGTTGTAAGTATCAATAATTGTTTGCTGGTTCGAGATGGACCAGACATCTTTGTACGTGACTAACCAATTCAATTACTATCAATTGTGAATTAAACTTGTTGAAATATCAGCAAAACCCCAAGGTTTAAAATAGGAGTATCGGTTATGCAATTGCATGGGCTAAATCTGGCCCATTGTGTAGGCTAGATGCATGGAAAGACTCCAGTGAATAGCCATTCGGAATTGATTGAAAATACTTCTGCGCGCTCTTGGACCAGCTTTACCAGGCTTACTTGTCCTTGTTAGTCTGAACATGTACTGGATGGATTTCCACCTTAATAATATGTAGTAGAAATATTATAGGTAAACGCATTTTAGACGTCTTGTTTGTACACAATAACCAATATTCTAACATCCATGATTATCTATTGTATACCACTATAACAGCGTGGTGTAATATTCAGCAATTCATATTTAAAAAAACTACTATCGCATCTGTTTGTTTTATGTTTCATATGCTGTTCAGATCAAAACTTTGATAACTTGTCGGTTGACCAGGTGGGGAGGATTGCAAGAGAGAAAACTTAGCAACCAGGAGACGGTCAAAATAAGGTAAGAAAAATAAAGTCAGAGTTGGACTGAGATTGGACTAAGATTCGCATGAATCGTCAGGTTTTCAGACTGCATAAACTGTATCCACACGTCACACATTCTCAATAAATGCACCGATTTAGTTTTGTTTTAAGCTTCATAACGAAATTGTAAACTGCAATTGGAAAAGCTCTGTGTACATCGTTCTTAAAATGCTATGTGTCAATGTCTGTAGTTTGATTAGTTTCCCATTGATTTTCCGAAATGATTTCGTTTTCTCTTGTCATCGTGGAGGACGTCACCTGTCAGAATATTTTAAATGCTATCTTTCTTGCAATAAAAACTTGGAAACTAAATTGCTAAATTAAACAACTTATCTAAAGCTATCTCTGTGCTGTCATCAAAAGCCACGCAACCAAAAACCCACTGAGCAACCATGAAGTGAACCAAACACGTGCTGTACGTTGGCAAGATATGTTTGATATCGCTCACTCTATGCCAAAGTAACAATTGAGCCAAGAAAGGGTCCAGAAACAAAATTGCCAAATCTTCTTTCTACATATACAACAAAATGCAACCCTAAAACTTTGCCTTAAAAAAAAAGGAATTGATGGAATTTTACGTTTTGGGTGTCAGATTAAAGCTGAGAGCGTTGTCTTTTGAAGAGTGAAAAAAACATGAAAAAAGCACTTTGGGTTATTGAGAAAATGCCAATTATGTGAAAGTAGTCATTTTTTTCACTCTGTGCACAAGTACTTCAAGCAGTACATAATTTTACTGTAAGCCTAGTGTGCAATTATCCTTTATTTGTGCAATTTGTTTTAGTATTTTAACATATTTATGATGCTGAAAGGGTTTAAAAAGGACTAAAAGGGATGAGATACCTGTTCAGGTGGGAAATGAAAGGTATGTTAATCAAATTCATATGTATTTTTCTCATATTATGTGCCATTTTGCTTGTAAGGATTAGGACATGCACAAATAAATACAGTGAAAATCCATGTGGTAAAGTGTTGTGTACATCATGAATAATGACTCTTTTTACGTAATTGGCATTTCTCAGCAACCCAAAGTGCTATTTTCATGATTTTATCAGTATTTGAATAAAAGAGCTCTCAGATTTAATCTGGTACCCAGAACATAAAATCCACCGATCCTCTTTTTTAAAGCATATGTTTTAGGGTTGCATTTTTTGTGGGTCACCCTGTGTACATATATTGTGCAGATAGTACGGCTAACCTGCAATGTGTGGAGAAAATGTTTCCCAAATTCGAACTATTGAAATGTCATTTAATGTGTTATGATTTCCCGAACGTACCTGTTTACAGATCTGGACTACAGGTGGCCTCTGTACTTGAGCCGTTGGTTTGCTTGTTGTGGATACTGGGACATTCCTATCTCCCTGATGGCAACTTATTTTTCACCAATGCATTCGTGACCTTGAATAGCCTGCAGGTAGGCCTTTACGGTTTATGAAGCATATTTCGTATTTTAGCACGTATTCTGTCGATCTGACAGTATTTGATTTTCATGCTGATGTTTACATCCCCTACACCATTGGTCGTTATAATTCATTAAAAATTCAAATATCTTCATTTTTACTAAAATTTTACTCAAATTACATATTTTTGATGCAAAAAGAGGAGTAGTGCAACACCATGCAACTTTCAGATTCAAATAATTTCGGCTAATGCACTTTAACAATACTAGAATAGTAAATAAGACATAAATGGTTGAACACAGTCTATTCAATAGGGGCAACGAAATGAAGAAGCTGATTGGACGCTCATATTGCAGGAAGTTAATTCATAGTGACACTTTAATTTTCTTTCTTATACTAAAAAAAACACGTTTTTACTCCTACAGGCTTTCTTCGTGTTTTACACCAGTTTGTTGGAAGAAGACAAATCTTACTTGGAAGAAGACGTAGGTTTGAATTTCCTCAGCTGCTTTCTCGCCAAAAAAAAATGGAAAATAAAACAAACAAAAACAAACATTAACTCCCCTGGAAACAAGTGAAAAGAAAACAACAACTTGAGGTGATACATTCCGCTGTGTGTTTTTCCTAAATATTCCATACAGTTCAAACCTCGTTCCTTCGTTACAATGCAGGTTGCTACGAAGTTACACAAGACAGTGGACTCGGGCACAATATCAGTTAAGGAATGATAAACTCAACGTGGTTCAAGTGAGTACGATTATTGATACTGGATGTACACCCCTCAGCATTGAACCTATAGTCCCGAACCAACCAAGCATACCCAACCAAACCCAGCCCACAGAGGTGCCCTGTCCAGGACAGCTGCCAAGGACAGTTCCCTCCACCCCCTTTTGTGTACGACCGGCCTTTTTTTCACGAGTGCCTCTTTTTAAAGTCGCGCGATTGTGTTTAATTGTATCGCCACGAAGACCGCCACTCATTGTCCTATAGTGTCCGCATTGCAGGGCGCCCCCGTAGGAAAATGTTGTCCAGCGAGACATCCCCCAACACTTCGGCCGGGTGACTGATGAAAAAGCCTGTCTACCTTTCAGCACGGATGCTACACAAATAAGCCCCCCCCCCCCCCCAACTGTAATCCAGCCCCCACACTCGCCCCTATTGTGAGAATGCTGGCTACGCCGCTGACCATGCCTAGTTTAAACAAGCCCTCATCGACCCAATCCAGCTCACCAACGCAAACAATCAGCCCAGCCCAGCCAAGTCCAGCCCAGTCTCGCGACCGGACTCCAGACTATTTTTTTTGGCTAGTCCAGCCCAAGGCCAGCCCAGTAGATCTAATAAGCCCTGCCAAACTCCAGCAAACTAAGCCAAACCAAGCAAACAAATGCATCATACTGAAATAACTCAAAGTTCCTGACGCACCAAACATAGTTGCAGATGTCTTGGCCTACAAGACCCCCCTACAATATGTATTCCATTCCAACACAATCCACTCAACAAGTTAAAGCTAGAATACTTTGTTTTCAAACCCTCGATAAAGATACCGTACTATTATGTGAAATTTATTTACGTATTTTCTTAATTACTCTGCAATTTCTGAGGCAAAAGTTCGCACACAATTTCCCCATTCAAACATGAGTTTATTACACGTGCAAGCCCAATTAAAATTGGTTGAACCTTTAACCCACACTTTCCTAGCCAAGCACTAGCCCCAGTAACAACAACCGTCAGCTGAAATGAAAATTACGCATAAACAAATTATTCAGTCATTCCTCACCTTAATTCTTAATTTGTTTCTCTCACAGCCACAGTGCGAGCAGTCGGAAGTTGGTGCCTTACAGAGATGGTCTTGAGACAACTTAATTTCGGTTTATACATTATGTTTACCTATATAACCAATAGGGTCGATAAGCACAAGTTTCTGTATAAAAGCAATTCACATACAGTGGGCCGCCTTTTAATAAGACGCCACTTACCGCCCCCTTTTCAACTTTACGATCGACACCGTTATGAAAATATTACCATTTGGTTGATCATTTGTTTTTTTACAAAACCTGAGCAAATCCCCGTCATCCGATTGGTGGATCGTTGATCACATGTCGTTGAATTATTCGTCCCCACGCACTGCGCGGCCGCAAAGCAAAAATACTAGTTCTACAGCACGGTGAATTGAACTTACATTGCACGATTTCATTACTGTCGGCGGTGGCGCTGTAACACGAATCCAATTTTCAGAATGGTAAATTGGCGGAAGATACGCGAGAATCTCTGTGTGGTTTCCAAATAGAAGAGGAAATATCAGAACTCAATCGTAGGTGATTCTGACGCTGCTAACACAAACAAGCACATAAGATATGCTGCCAAACGATTAGAATAGAAATGGGGAAGTTCTGAACTTTTCAAGAACAGTTTCTAAAATACACAAATTGGATATGACAGTTTTTAATAAATCGGATATTGGAAGTGAACCGCCAGTTATTGCCATCTGAAAAAGTAGAACATTGATGTAGGTACCAGTTTACCAAACAATCAGATAACAAGGATTTATGCAGGTGTTATATAAAACAAATGATACATGTTTCAAATTCGTGCAATGGAAAGAAGAATTTCATTCGGTGACAGATGTATGTTGCATTCCACGCGCCTTCGCCTCGTAGAATGGAACATTCATCTCTCACCTCATGAAATTATTCTTACCATTGCACTCACTAACATTCATTGTTTGTATACCATTATTCAAGCGCGGTACTTATTAAGCGACTATGCTTTTGGAAGCATTGTGAAACCTCGTTATTCACAGATAGAATGAACCTGGAACCATGTGTGTGCAAGGACAAAACGCAGCCCGTTGAATACTGCACATGCCCGCAATTATTTTCAAGTGGCGCACTGCACCGTGAATTGCACATTATTGAAGTAATATCAAAAAATTAACAAGTTTATTTCAATATAAATGTATATATGCTGTAAGTATTTTGGTAAATGTTGCTGCTTTGCTGATGTTTTTTTTTTCTGTTGGAATCCGACGAGTAATGACTATGTATATTTTCTTCAACTACAATGTATAGTGTAGCGCCTTTAGCACTAATGTGTTGGTGGATACGTGCGCTTTTAAAATGACAATATAACAATAATGAGTGTTATTATTATCGTCCATTACCACCCAATATCAAGCAATGAGATGGAATTCAAATCAAGGGTGGACAGGGAAACTGAAGAACAAAGGATTATTCAAAGACCAGACTATATTTAACGAGGCCTTAATGGGGATCGTGGCTTTAATTGTCACAGTACAAAATTGATAATTGATTGATCACCACCTTCTGTTTTGACTGTACATATACCCGTGTATAAAATTTGTGTGATGACAGTTTTTGCTGCGAAAACTTCTGCAAACTTTCATTCTAGTTAGTTATTTAAAGTGCTTCCTTACCTTACATTTGTTTGAAATCTGAAAAAAAAAAAATTTTTTACAAAGTTTACTTTTCTTCTTTTTAATCGAAAGGCTAGTTAGCTTTAACATCGTTTGACCAGTGATGTGCCACGATGGTTGTTTTTCAACTAATTCGTATAAATGGAGCAAACATTGATTGTCAGCGGGAAAATACATACATGCATAACGCAATAAAAATAGTATTCCGACTTATGTTTGAACATTTGATTCTTTCCTCTCTTTTGACCTGGTTTTGCTGGGTAGTTGATGACAACATGTTCTTTAAATGATTGATACGAGTAACCTTAGTGAATACGTCCATAGGCGTCGCGGGGGGGGGGGGGGAGGGGGGCGCTTGTCCCCCCGGAAAAAAACACAAAAAAGAGGATGAGAAAAAAAAAGGAAAAGGAGGTGTGAAGTCAAAGTTGCTATTAATTTAATTGCTTTTAACTAAATGGGCGTCTGCAGGGGTGTCAATGGGGGGGGGGGGGGGGGCAAACGGCCCCTGCCAACCCTCGAACACAAAATGAATAATTGTGAAGAGGCTAGCGAAAGTGCAAGGATTTTGGGGCAAAATGTGCTGTGCCCCCCCCCCCCCCCGAAAAAAATCCTGGCGACGATCATGAATGCATCTGTAGTTTAATAAATACACTTTTTGAATAATGTTGTTCTAATGGAATAGAAGGATATAGTTCCCTGCAACGTATTTGAATGAAAACGAATCAAGCACAAAACACAGGTCCCGCATAACTCGTCACGAAACAGGGTCACTTTTAATAGCTTGAACTCAAAACCTTGCATATTTTTCGTAATTTCACATAAGATCTACCTGCGCGTTATGTATATTGACTGCAGCCTACTTGGCTGTGAGTTTTTCTTAATATACGTGAACTTCGATTTTTTTCTTTTGTGCATGGTCTTAACCCTCCGGCGCAGAATCTAGCCCTTTTGGGGACCCAATTTGGTTAATTACCTTAATTAAAAAAAAAAAATTCAAAGCAATTCTGGTGATCTTCCATCTAATCCTAGCAAGAGACACCCTCTACGGATATATGCAGTCACCTTTTGTGTGTGACCCCGGGTCAGGCATATCTGAGCATGACAACCTGGGCTAAGGACCGATGCAATTTCTGCCCATCCGGGGACCCACCATATACACGCGCACAAAACAACTCGGACGCAATTTCTGCCCACCCGGGGACCCACCATATACACGGGCACAAACAAGGTCACTTGCGAGTAGACAGTGCACGGCTTGACCACAGACTATGTATACAAATACACCTCCTTAGTCTACAGACATGGCAAGATTGTGTTCATGTGGATACAGTGTTGTGTAGCCTCAAACCGTGGCGCTAAATATTTGGGTCCCCGGGGGACCCCTTACTGTAAGTGTGTTACTAAATGGGCTTTCTGCGTCGGAGGGTTAAAACAGGCAATGAATACGTGTGAAATGAAATTGAAATGCTTATGAATATTCAATATAAAGACAAATGCGCCCTCGTGTGACAGTGATGAATATGACATGCGTCACACCACAATTTTTTGACGGGGGGGGGGTTAAAGTCTCATCTCAACGATTATTGTTCGTGCAGAATTATCTAAATTAGAGGACAGTTATAGCTATGGTAAAGCAAGGAAGTAAACTGTGAGGTTAACATGGCAAAACGCCACACACGGGTACATTCCGCGCAGTTTAGTAACTTTAGTTTAATAAAGCCAATTTTTCTTTGACACATTTTGGAGAGGGACTTCGATGTAGAAGTTTTCGTTTGATATCAAAGGAGCAGCGCAGATTGTATCCAATGGAGAATGTTATAGAAACATTTAGCATATCAATTTAAATTATTGCTATAAAGACATCATTTTGTCTAAATGAACGTTCCAATACATTAATTTTTAGGTCAATTCGAATAGTTTTTTGAAACTTTGAACCAGGATGCAGATGTGCTTCCTGACCTTGCACTTAAATAATTTGTCAATTCACTGCCATTGGTCTCGGAAAGAAATACACAGTGGCACTTGTGATATACTTGAACCCTAGATTTCTATAACTGAATAACAATCGTACACCAGATACGTACAGGTTTCCCTGGCGCATATGCATTATTCATACATATCTTACGTCTTGTCCTGGATTTAACAATGATATACACATTAGCAAGGCCTTTTGTTTTTATTGAATAGTTTCATTTTTTTTTAATAGTGTAGATTTAATCACAAGAATTACTTGAAAAATAACCTGAAAGTGCAGGTGACAATACAATTTACATAAAGATCATCTGTGGGACATTTAAACGGACAGCACTCATTAGCAGATCAAAAGATGTAAAAAAAAAAAAAAAAAAAAAATCATCTACAAAGGACGGGTGAGTTTAAACAAACTGCCGAAGTGAAAGTGCGTGCAGATTCTAAATCGTTATTTTGAGAAGGAAAATGTGTGGTCAATGAGTGCATGTGACTTGCTGAGAATGTGTACTTTGGTAGTAACTGGTAAGGAGCACGTGGTGGCGACCTTGCTCAGTGCAAAACGTCTACATCTTTTCATACAGGCAGGTAACCTGGGAGATGCATTGAGATCACCAAAGCTCGTATCTACGTACACGACGCATAGCTTGTCAGAAGTAAAGCAATAGTCGGGAAAAATAATTACAAACAAGTCTGTCTACTTTCTTATTTTTATGCAACGTCTTCTGAATGCGTTACACACATTACAGAAGGGTAAATATTTTCCTGAAAAGTAATTTCTTCTAAATGAGGGTAAAGACTGCATACTCTCTGCCTCCGGAAACAATTATGGTATCAAAAGTCTGATTTTCTAAACTTGAATAAAGTGCTTCTTTAAGAAATTCGACGTACAAAATGTCCATTTCGATGGACAAAATCCCTTAATTACCCATGACGGGCAATGAAGAATTCAGTGAGCACAAACATTATAGACAACAACAGTGTACTGACAATCTCCGCAATGACGTCAAACAGCTAAGGGGAACCTGGATATCTCAACTAATCTTATAAATCACCATAAACGTTCTTCGAAATGTCTTACCTAGAATTACAAGCAGTAAGGCAACAGTAATGCGTTGAGCGGAGGCACGGGACATCCAGAACGCTGCCATTTCCAAATGTGTTGAAAGTGTGAGGCCCTAAATATAAAGTAGCAATACCCATGTGGTTTTGTTTTGTGCTATTCAAGTTGCGGCCCGGTGTTCACCTATACTGTATTGTTGTATATTTCCGGCAACAGAGGCCTTGAATTCCCAATATTAAATTGCACTTAACGCTCGGAGTAAACATCTCCATTTATAACCTTGAACTTTAGAAATGCTATCTAAAGGAATTTCTCAATTAAAGACACTGAAGTGATTGTTAGATGATTATCGCACCGAGTCTCATCTGAAGGAATCGGTTTCGATCACTTGAAGATTCCCAATACAATTCACCGGGGAGAAATCGAACGATAGCGAGGCAGGTTGTTGAGTAATCACAAGACGTCTCATCCAATCCATATTTCCTCCAATTGACCTCACGAGCCGTTCCATCGGGCACGCAGGTCAGTAGTGCTGTTTCATTGACATCCACCCAAGGGGCGCTGGAAACTGTTGGTTGGGCATTACAAACTGCTAATAAAAAAGAAATATCTTACAATCAGGGTTTTTAAAGGGAGGTTATTAATTAATTGGATTTGCATGTTCAAAATACATAAAGAAGGAAGGGGCATTTATAGGTAAATAAGATGCCCACTGCCTGCACGTGATATGGATCGTTGAAATTAGTGGCAGAAGAAGTAACATGAAATTCCTTAATTTGTTCAAGCCTTGAGCAAGATTTAGGAACCAACTTTATATTAATTCATTGACTTCAATCAGGCCTATTAAGTGGGGAAGCAGGAATATTCTAAATATGCTCCAATGGAAACGAATTCACATTATAAAATAAAAAAATAGTGATTGATTTAAAGGTAGAGTCCATCATTTGCAGCCATCCGAAAAGTAACTGGCGTAATTATTGTTGAAAAACTAACTTGGTTGAAAGATAGTAAGGAGACTAAACTCCCTGTGAAATTATTCTTTCTGGGAAGCTGTCATTTTGAAGTAATCAACGAAAGAAGGCATTTCCAACGGTGATTCTTAAGAAGCACCGTAGGAAAATTTAAATTAGTAGTTCGTTTTGTTATTCAGCGCAGCGCGCACAAGTATTCGAACGACGCACACGCGCGCGCGGTTGTTATAATTCGTCGGATCAGTGCGCGACGTCGCGTATAGTTGCAATTCAAAACAATTCAAAAACATGATTCAGCAACTTTTGATTTGAAATTGAGATCTTAGAATGCTGTTTTTCTCAGAATGTACAGCTGAAGCTTAGCTGAAACTTCATCAGGTTAGTTGCTCAGTATCCTTCATTAGATTTTGAACTCTTTTGTTGCTTCAAACGAACAAAATGCACAAATTACAAATGATGGACTCTACCTTTAAAGGGAATATACAACATTTGCAAACATCGAAAAACAAAACTACCAAGTTTTTGCGAAATACCTTAATAGGATGTTGGTAAATGACAGTCTAAAACATCCTGTAAAATTATGGCACCTGGTATACTGTCATTTTCAAGAAAAGTGGTATTTTTGTATCAATTTCCAACGCTGATCGGCCGATCAGCGTTGGAAACAACTGGCTTTTTTTCAAATACTGGCCTCAATTGACCATCGCACTTGTTTGCAATCGATTACACACCTATGAACGGGCCACGAGCCAGCTAGACTGGTTCCCTGACCTTACAATTCCCCAATGTATGTAAACTGCTCTGTTTCTTCCTATATGGAGTCAGGGAACCAGACTACAGGAAAATGATCGTTTTTCTTGGTTTTTATAGCATTTTCGAACCCAAAACCTCAAAAAAGTCAGTGTAACTATATTTGCTTTATATTTCCAACCCCTCAATTCCATCAATTTCTGAAAATTAAAACAAAAGCAAATGATGTATATTCCCTTTAAATTGCTGGAAAAAAACGTTGTTTCCTACTTTATTTATTAATAATTATCAATCACATCCCTCTCTTTCCAGTATAATTTTCGGGATTTAATTTGTGCAAGTATTAAAAGTCTATTTTTTTGGGTAAAACAATTAGGTTATTCTCCGCTTATCTCTCAAGGCCAACATCAGTAAGAAGAGAAGACAAACATTCTGGACTAGAGACGCAGCCATTTCTGCGCGTAATACGGAGATGC